GGGTCACTGTGAAACCAGAGCAGGCCTATAAAGCAAAGTACAAGTGTGGCATTTTTTTCTGAAGGATAATAGTACAGTATATGTTTGGGAAATACAGAATGAAAGGAGGAAAACAAGCTATACATTGCAGGGGAGAGCCCGTGCTCTCTCTTTAGGCCTAAATATGTACTTATGATCATTATGATACAGCATGTACAGGGGGCAGAGAGATGGAGAAAGTATGGGTTGCAATGAGGGAGGAGAGGAAAAACGTGATGGAAGGAGTCAAGAAGAGAGTTTCACAAATAGACTTATAGGCTTGAGAAACTGCAGTGAGGGGATGTATAGAAAACAAAGCTTATATTGCAGGATGGGTATGTTTTCAGTCTTGACTTTTTTTATTCTTTAGTTTAAAAGAACTTCATTATGCAAAACGTATAGTGATGTAAGAAGACTTACTGTAAGACTGAAGACTGTCTTTTTAGTCAGGTGCAATGGAAAATCCTGCAAATGGCTGTGAAGTAAATTTGAAAGGAAGCACTCTGCAGTGTTATAAATTCATGAGAAGCAGATAAGTGATTGTTTTGCACTCAACAGCTGGACTAAATAAGTCTATGTGTGATGACAGTGGTTGCCAACATAAAAACCAATGGCTTGCTTGTTTGGTACACCATATTTCCCATCCTTCCTCTTGTACTTATTAAAGAATTGGACAGTTTTCTTTTTCACTTTTTTGATGTTGCTCAGTTGAATATAACAAAGAAAGCGGCTCTTCATATTGCTATCAGTAGGTCGCCGTAATATTTTTGAGTGTGCATGTATGGGACATTTCTGCATACACATACCCTTGGTTGTTGCATGAACATAAGCACTAATGCTGCTCGGCATTGACGCTCCAAGTCTCCGAACTCTAGTAGAGGGATGAACATCATTCTTCCAAAAGATACTGTCAGGGTCACTCCGTTTTGCCTGCCCTCTCTCACCTCCACACACCTGCCAGCTATCCTTATCATCACCACCTGTTGTCTATCCTGCAATTACCTGCCTCCTATATCTACCCTGTCTTCCAACCGGCTCACTGCCAGTTTGTTGTTTGTTCCCACGCAGACGACTAGTGCCGTTCCACCCTCTTACTGTCTTTATGTACATTCAGTTCAAGTTTGCCTCCTTTATTCTCTTAGCCTTCTCCTCGCCTGTTCCAGAAGTCAGCTCCCCTTTTGGACTATTAGCCTCCACACGGAGTTGTCATCCTCTGACCAACGCCCATCGTTACCCCTCGGACCAACATCATCTACCAGGTCGGTGCTCTCCTATCCTGTTTTGTACCTGCTTATTGTGTTCTCCTGCCTGTTCTTCTGCCTCAACCATCTCTACCTTGACCAGTCAGTGAGTGACCCTCATGCTCCACAGCTCAACCCTGCGATGGTCTTTATCATCTTGGCCTAAAATAAATACCTAATACCCTCTCAGGTTGAGAGGTACCGGCTAGATATAGTCGGGCTCACCTCCACACATAGCTTGGGCTCTGGAACCTTACTCCTCGAGAGAGGCTGGAATGGCTAATCATGTTTCAGTTTTTCACCTATATAACCTGAGGTGTTTATTGAAAAGAGCAGACTTTTCTACCCTGACTTTATTAAGGCAGTACCTCTCCACAGGCAACACAAGTAACCTATTAAACCTACACCAAATCTGGGAGGAAGTGCTGCCTGAAGGACAAATGACTTGCTTGCTGACATTCTATAACTCACAAGCTCCACTGCTCACACATATACAAATATAGCGTGAACAAATAAAAACTGTTTGACAGTGTAATGGCATGTACAGTAGGAGCTGGAAGGAGAAGCAACTCCAGAAAGGTGAAGACACCAATATGACATTAGATAATGTTATTATGGGAGTGTGATGATCAGCACTGGAAATATTTAGATCCTTTAAGTTGCAGTATTGCATTATAAAAATACTGCATTAAAATGTTATAACAGTATCAAAGGTATCAGTAGGCCACCCATAATTCAGACATGTTCCTCCCATGGTCCTTATTACTGATGGCTACATTAAGCTGTGCACAGCATCTTAAATTGGAATCAGCTTTATTGGCCAGGTGTGTTGGACATGAGGAATTTGACTCTGGTACAGCGGCTCTCAATGTGCATGTACAGTACATATCCCCATGCAAGGCAACAGCAAGGGGCAAGTAAACAATATACCAACATAAGGCTGTGTAGTATAACAAAATAAACAGTATAAACAAGCAATAAACAATGCAGACAGGCAAAGCAATGTTCATTAGGAATTGAGATAAAAAAAATACAGTAAAAATAGAGTTCCTAAAAAAAAAAAAAACCTGCACGGATCTGTATAATCTATACAATGTATATTTACAGGTATTACACTGGGGGAAGGTCCAGTCATGTTGTAGTTTATCTAGTTAGAGCTAGTTTTAACTACTTTATAAAATGTTAACGCTAATTTTTTGTTTTGTCATACATAGACAAAAATTGCCAGTGGACTTTGTGTACACACTGTAATGTATGTGAATCCAAAACCTGGTTTAGCTGGTTTCTGCCACAACCTTCCAGTGCTGCCCAAAAACTATTAAAAACATGGCCAAAGCTTGTCAAAATGTTCAGTCATTGCTGTGAAATCAAAGATTGACAACTGTATGACATCCTGATTAGCACTTCAGTTTAATCGTTCTAAATTTAACCTATTATTGGTGGCACCATAAACCTTAAATCTAAACCTGTGTGACATCCATAAATGTTTCTGCTTCTGTCTTTTTCTCGTGGTTTGTATCCTCTGCCTTTATTATTAAGCAATCATCAACCACTGGTTTATAAGAATGATCTACAGTGGCTTTAACCCCTCCATTTCCTGATCTCTTATATCCAGGGTTGTTAAAGCACTTTTTAAAATACTCCAGCTGATGCGTTTCCCTAACTGTACTGGCTTCCAGGGTTATTTACAGTTGTTACTGTACAGGCTTGCATGATTGATGTGTGCCACAGAACACCAACGTATCTCTGTCAAACCTGTGGGTCTAGTACCATGTCATTAAATATCTTCTTGCAGTGTGCTCTGCAAACACCTGTGTGCGCCCACAAACCTCCGTAATCACAGAATTGTGGCCCCAGTGCATGCCTCTCAAAATTTGAAACATTGTGGTTTGCAGCTGCATCGACTCGTTGATGACTGGCTCACTGATCTGTGGGAGCCCCAACCCAACCACAGGCTACCTGCCTGCAGCCCTGAGCAGGAATCATGACACAGTATAAGAGTTGATGTTCTCCATCTCCATTATATTTGAAATTGAGAAGTGAGGTTCAAGGAGTTAGGAGGGAAGTCTGAAGATCTATGATAGAGAATGCATGAAACCTATCCTTCACTTAAGTCTTTTACCAGATAGGCACAACCTTTTGTTATAAATCTGTTGGTAGTTAGATCCTGCAGCTGACTGAACTAATTTGAAACCACATCAAAATATCACCATAGTTTTATACCTAAATGAACATGTAATAAAACCAACTCAAGAGTATTAATCCCAAGACTCAGATTTTCTTTTTATTCACAATGTAGTTAGAAAAGGTTTTGTGGTATCAACATGCTCCCCTTCGTTTTTGAGACAATTTTGTTTATGGGACAATTAGCTCCTTTATTTCCAAGCAGTATAGCTGAATTATCATGGCCTGTACTCTGGCTCCTGGAGGCAGCTTTCTAACCAGCACCCCGTGTGATCAGTCCAACTTAGGGAGGGAATTGGAGCACGTCTTTGTCTAAAAGTTCCACCAACAGAGGAAAATAGTGGGCTTAGGGCCTTCACTGGATTCCAGGAGGGCAATAAGTCTGATCTTATTTCTCCAGCTGTGGCTTTAAAAATTGACCATTTTAGTAGTTAGCTTGGCACTGCTATTAGCCAGGGCCATGCATTTCTCCTGTAGCAAACGGATCAGCTGGTCGAGCAAAATGATGATGGACTCCAGTGACCCTATGTGGTGGTCAGGATCTGTTACCAAGGCTTGCATCTGTGTTAATTTCTCTTCTGAAACCAAGAATGTTCCTGTGAACTTGGCCAAGATTGATAGCCTGTGTTTTTTCAAGATGTTGGCCAGACACATTGCTGTGATGTTGCCATCTTTAAACTTGCATTTCTTCCATGCTTTTGCTAGTTTTGAGAACATGGTGTCGTTGACAACACAGGTTAGAAATTATACCATATATTAAGTGAAAAAGTTGTTAAAGCAAGTGTGCATACAGTATTTCAGTTAAACGTGTGTGGGAGAGCAACATTCCTCTACATTCCACTGCTACCAGAAGTCTCCAAAAATTGTACACATTTTAACACAAAACCATCATGTTTAGCGCTTCCTGCACATACCTGCAGAGGAGCTTATATGCAGATGGTGTACTACAGTCTGGAGATATGGAGAGGTGAGCTGAATAGGCTGGCTGTTATTTTGAATGGAAGATGTAGAGGCTGAGAGCAGAGTGGTTTTGCACAGGGCAAACCTTCTTTGCATTTCACTTATTTAACAAGAAAATAATCTGCCTCGTTGAGACCTACAGACTGTTTTACCAGCTCCTACATGACGTAGACCACATCAATAAATTGAAAGGCAGAATTAGACAGAGGAAAAGAGACTGAGCAAAAAAGGGACAGAGAATGACAACTGGCGGGAAAATAAGAAGGTCAGTAAATCCAGATACAGCGCCTCTGATGACAGGTGTGAAACAGTGCAGCTGTGCATTGGCCTCAGAGTGCAGAGATGAATCCTGACTAAGTTCCCTGACTTTAAGCATTGGAGAGTTACTATCACGTCCAGTCCCACCTACCAGTTGAAACACACTGTTATATTCTGGTCTGTTAGGGTCTCACAGCAGATTAAGAAATGCTTACATGATCGTTTGCTAGAGGTTCTCTGGATTGGGACAGTTGCAACATGATGTTGCAGAGCGAATCTCCTGGAAGAACAGAGAGGAGGATAAAGAGAGAAAGAAAATGAGAAAGAGACACAATACATAATAAAACTCTTCTCTTGGCTGCATTTGGAATAATAATCATCTCCTGCCATACTGCAGAGAATGCACTCTTCAGTATCTGACATCATTTCATCAGTTATAGCTGTTTGAATGATGAAAAAAGAGGGGAGATGAAGGAATGAGAAGGCAAAGGAAAAACACACTTGCTGTTGACAAAACTACAGGGATAAATCTATTCTGAATGTTTTGAAATGCTTGCAGTTTTCTTTTAGTCCGCTCCAATCCACTTTTTATTTGTGTGTGTGTTTTATTTCTCATTGGGTGCTCTTGGACAGTACCAAGAAACTGCCCTAGCTCTGTGCTGCACATCAAGTGCACATTTGAGTGCACACTGATTTTCCATCCACTTGCTGTCCAAAGTGGATCAGTACCAGTGCTATCATTTTTTGTCATTACTCATTTGGGGCCAGACACTGTGTGGAAATCCAGACTATTTTGGCAGTGTGAACCAAGACAACAATGAATAAAAGGGGGAGAGAAAGAGAATGAAAGGTATGTGACTGTGACAGCAGCAAAGACAGCTGGCCCAGCCTTGTAAAAAAAAAAGAAGCAATCGCTGGCATTTGTCTTGTTGTGTCTTACCTCTCCTGGAACTGTTTGGATGGGATTAGGCCAGCTCGAGGGTTGGCATCACCCTCAACTTTGGCCTGCCACCATGTTGCATCATCTTGGCTCATGATCTGAAGGATGAAGCCCTTCTTGAAGGTGAGTCCAGCCTCCTTACATGGGATGGCTTTGTCCTCGTTAGGGTCATAGTCAAAGAGAGCCTTCACAAACACCTGGACATTTAGCAGAAGAGGGGGATAGAAGACAATAAAAGGCTGGATTGAGGACACAACAGGGAAAAAAAATTACCTATGTCTGAATTTCAAGTCATCACACGGAAGATGCTTCAGCCATACCCAGGGGGGTTGTTCTATAAAGGTCATAGCAATCAGAAGTTGAAACCTTCCGCTAAATGGCAATGCTACTCTCTCTATGTTGTTACATCAACGCTCAGAATGCACAAAAAGTCTGTCACTATCTTGCAAGTGTGAGACCTGAAATGGGTCAGAAATTTCAGTTTCTTTGTTTGACCTACTGGTTTTTTCTGATTCTAAAATCAAGCTAATATCAGTCATCTTTCCACACCAAAAACCAAACCAACAGTGTAAAGGTTGTTTTCTTTCTTTCTTTATTCTAATTTGCTTTGGCAGTAAAGGTGGGGCACACCTCATCAATATCCCTGGAAAAATCCCCGACATCTTTTCTTGATGTGGGCAGTGAACTGAATTCTCAAGCACCTGGCTGTATCTTCTGTCCAAATGAAGTTCTGTCATGATAAGTTATCACTCGTAAGACACCTCGGTACATGTGGTAATAGAGAAAGAGGAATGTTTGCATGAGTGAGAGAAAGAAAACATTGGACAAAGAGGAGATTACATTTTTTGATGTCCTGTTGATTGAAAGAGTGCTTTGTGCAATGCAGAGAAACTGTGTTTCAGACTGAGATGTTTTGTTTGGGTCATAACAGCCTCTTCAGCTGCTAAACCCTCCAGCAGAATAGTCATTCATCTACACCCTGAGACCTGCTACTTTTCTTCCTTTGGCTCAAATTTTTTGGCCCGTACTTGCTTAACCACTTAGCTGCCCTTTGATTCGTCTACACAGCCTGACGTAAGTGTAAGGCTACATTCATGAAGTGTGTCTGAGTGTTTGGCGCTAGCAGACAATTTTTCAGATAAATTCCTTAAACAGCCAGACAGTTTCAAACATTACATGATGACAAAGGATGTATGTAGCCCACCCTGTCCTGTATGCTTCTGTTACACATGCATGGTGGGTTGCACTGTGAAAAATCGTAAGCCATGTTCAGCCCGGGAGCTCAACAGCAGGAAGCAGACTTAGCTTCTGCATGCTGCTGATAGATGATCATGTGAAAAACAATGTATCAGCACCCCAGCAGGTGGTACACTTCAATCACCCTCAAAATGGATGGCGGCACCATGAAAGAAGATAATCTTCTCTTGTGTAAATGGGTATCAATATTGAATACTCAATTTCTATTGCAATGTACTATCTACTCAATTTTTAAAACTAAATATTCAAAACTGGGGTAGAATGTCTTTACCTATTCTTTGCAAAAGTTTCAACAGATCTTGGACAGAAATATAAGTAGCTTAAGGAAGTACAGTAAGTACATACTGTATATACTCTACCAGTCAAAGCTTTGGACACACTTTGCCATTGAACTGAATGGGAAAATGTGTCCAAACCATATGTAAGTGAGAGAGACAATATATATATATATACACACAATATGCTCACACTGGTCATTAGTGCTCATTACACTAGTTGTCTTTTACCGGAGGAAAAGCATTGTTGTCACTCACTGTTAATTTCCAATATCCTCAAAATTTGACAGACATTTTCTAATACCAAGGGGATATACGTCGTGTCTGTTTTTGTATTTTATGATGGTTTGATCCAGACAAAAGCAGCTGTAGGTGGAGATAAAGTGGGCGATGTGTTTAACAGCCTGTACATTCCCACAGACAGCAGGGTGTTTCTGGCCAGCAGTCACTTTTAGCACATCATGCACACAGTGATTACAGCAGGTTAAAAACATATAACCTAAGCCGAGACCCCGTGTTTCTCACAGTGCCTAAAACAATCCTATGCTAATACTGTTCAGCACACTCTCTCACAAAGCAAGAACAACTTTGTGACTGAGGTGCCAGACTCCTGTATCGGGTTGTGTGGGCCACTCGCTAACAATATGCTGACAGATGGATTTATGGATGGATTTATAACTTCTTTGAATGCACCTATTTGGGGTTAGTAAATGATTACTCAGAACATGATTTCTATCTCAATGGTTTGGGGGGTTTTGGAAGAAAAAAAATTATAAATATTTTAAATATCAGATATATTAATTTCAATAATATACTGCAGGTCAGATGGTGCAGGCCAAATGTGGCTCACAGGCCACCAGTTCACAATCTTGGCATTAACATGGCTAAAATGCATCCAATGCAGACAGACAGCAGGAAGATATAGGGGAAGCAGTGGGGTGGGGTAGTGGTTCTGGCTATGAATGCATGTGCACATGAAGGGGCTGTGGTCAAGCTACAACAAAACTATATATTTATATTTCTCAGTATAAGGTCCTGCCAAGTGTATTGTTTTGTAATTGGTAGCAAAATTATAATAAAATATGTCAATAAACAGCACTGGTCAAACTTAGGGCCTGGTTACTGTATTTTTCCTTCTCATTACTATCGTACAGCTCTCCTCCTCGCTGGTGCATACATCATTTCCTCATTGTGGCTAAAAATCTGTGTTCTACATCCAACAAAAGCATATCATGCTGAAGAAAATAAATTCACTGTTTTTTTAAGTAAATTAGTGTAACCTAATCAACTTAATGATTAGGACAGAACCTGCCTTTGGCTCCTTGGTTGAGGCTTCCTCCTTAACATCAGGAACAACTTTAAAAGTAATGGCTCCTTCTGACTGGGCCTGAGTAGTGGGAAAGACAAGACAGATACAGCAGGTTAGGTAGAGATAGAGGGTGTGGAAACAACAGTCTCTGTCTACATACAATCTAATATTTCAACTATCCTAGTGAAAATCACACAATACAAAGCACTGATTGATTTTATAGAAGTAGAAGGGGTATTAGCAAAAATTTAATCAAAGTGTTTTTTGAGGAGGGGAATTCTTTGCATAGGCCAAAAAAATACACTGCTAGTGGTAGGGGGGTTTTTTTATGTTGAATTTCTCTTTCAGGAAATGCTAAAACGTCTGTCCAAGCATAAAACAGGCATATTTTTGCACTGAGGCAACTACAGTAACTTAACTTGCGCATAGTAAATTCAAAAATTTTCACTAGGCCCATAATCTGTTGCCTTATGTTTTATTTAGTTCAGTGATTAGATTAGCTCCATGATTGCAGTGAAACTGCTGATATTTTGCTTTTAAGAAGCAAAGCTAATAGCTACCTGTAATAAACTACTCAACAAGTCAGAAAAAATGTATTTAAATTCTCCAGAGGAGAAAAGATTTGGATGTCAGGAGACCTAATTTAACCCCTGGTTATTAGGATTAGATGTCTCTGCTTGGCAGGTACAGAATGTAGCTGTAAACAGAGGAGCAATCATCTGCTCTAGAAGCAGTCTGAAGAGGCCTCTAGAGTCTCTCTTTCCTTGGCAGTTGTCCTTCCTGGCAAAGTTCAGGCCTGCAGCAGAGCCTGCTTGGATGAACTATTAAGCATCATTCTCATTCAAGGGGGACAACCATGTGGCTAAATGCATGCGGTCTAAAGGCCAGGAAAGACTTGTAGAATAAAGCCAGTAGTCTGGTTTTTAGCGCAGTGATTGGTGGCACGAGGTCCTAGATGAGTTAGCTGAAGGTTTTTGCCATCACAAACAAGAAATGTTATTTTTGCCAAATTGAGTAGAAATTGAGCTGAAATTCTAGAAAACCCTTAGAGAGCACATACATACACACAAGGCTGAATACAGTCATAGACACAAACAGATGGGGCTTACCAGAATATGAATGATTTCCTCCGGTTTCTTGTCATCAACAGGGATTCCATTGACCTCTTTCAGTTCATCCCCAACATGAATCAGTCCTACCATACAAAAGTTGCATACCTACAATTACTTTCATATTCCATTAGTCTAATGTTCATTATTTGAAAGTCCAGTGTTTACAAAGTCTGGGGATGTGTACAGTACACAAGATTAATGTTTGTTGTCATGGCGGCATTTGAGACTGGAAAAAAAATCAAAACATTACTGTTGAAACTTGGGAATTCGGCCTTTGGTGCTACTGTGGCAGAGTTGGAAAACAGACTGGACACCAAATACAAAATTAAACAGAAAATATGTGGAAAGCATAGCAGAGCTTCTCAGTATAGTTTCCCATCCATTCGTTATCTATACCACTTATCCTGTAAAGGGTCCCAGGGAGCTGGAGCCAACAGAGAGACAACCACTCACACACACAGGGTCACCAGTCAATCAAACCTGCAGGTCTCTGGACTGTGGGAGGAAACAGGAGTACCTGATGGAAACCCACGCAGGCACGGGGAGAACATGCAGACTCCACACAGAATGATCTGGTTGGCTGTGAGATTTGAACCTAGGACTTTCTTAATGTGAGGTGACAGTGCTAACTAGTGCCCCAGTATACTTCTCAATCAGCTTCATATTTACAAAGTGAAACAATGCAATTTATGGGGTAGAACTAGTGAAATCAGATCATTGCTGTATATATGCCTCCTTTGTTGAATACTGGACATACTCTACTGTAGTTGTAATGTAAATCACTCTCACACTGCAGACTCGCATACAGAAAGAAAACACAAAAGTAATGGAACTGACCGCTTCTGTCGGCAGCACCTCCTCTCATTATCCGGGCCACGAGGATAGATCCTGTGTGTTCGTCACGCCTTATTGTTGCTCCCTAAACAGGAACAAAAAAGGAGAAGCAAATTTCATATCAAATGATGACAGCCCAAACCGAGAATAAGAGGAAGGCGACTGTCTTTTAAAAGGCAAACAGAACAAATCTGTTGTGTCTTATTTGGGGGAACGGACATATTTCAAGTGCATTTAAAATATTTTTTATAAAAAACAATGTCAATGGGAATGAGTCGGGTTACAGAAAACAGTTGTAGTTGCAGAAAGTATCAATATCTTTGCAGAAAGAGCTGGTCTAAACAAAGGGGTGAGGGCCAAGGAGATTTGAGGTAGCAGTCTCAAAACACATACAATTGCTAAAGATTACCCTGTTCTTCTTATGGGCTTGGTGCTCTGTCAAAAAAGACACACAGAGAAAAGAATATCTGAACGACAGGGTGATGCTTTACAAATAAAGCCCAACAGCATTTTCCCTTTACAATATGTAGTGGCAATTTTTATAATAGCGCCCTTTAAGTTCTTTAGCTGATGCTTTCAAGTCATGGTATGCAGTCATCTGTGTGGTTGTGACCCTAGACCGTTTATTGCATGGTTGTAAACCTTTGTATGCCCTTGTGGTTGCCAAACCAGATGTGACCTGGGACCAAAGGGCTGGTATCCTGTTGTAAATTGTATCCTGTTTCCTTTATCTGTTTGAGCATCTGTCTTCTTTGTTGTATGCTGAGTATAAGAAGGGCAGTCACATTCTGTTCATTGAGCTTCCCTGCAACAGACTGGTTTAGTCACTCAGTTCAGAGATCGCTCCTTCCTGCAGGAATAAATATGTAATAACTTTCAGAAATGATGTTAAGTATTTATTTTACACTCACTGAGCTTTAAAAGATCATTTTTCCACCACAATTCTGGCGACAAGGATGGGATCTCTCGAGTGGTCGTCCAGGACATCGTCAGACAGGGCCTGGCCAGCCTGAGAACAACAATTTTCTCAGCCCCAAACCTCATCCATATTTCTGAGTGATTGAGGACTGTCAGAGGACACCCTGGATCATCACCGATGGGATCCAAGTATTCAATGTTTGGAAAGAGATTATTCTCGGTGGTAAGTGTAAAATAAATTGGTTAAATACATTGAGAAGAATGTTGAATTAGTAAATTCGGGAAAGCTATTCCGCTACTGTGTTAATAATTGACGATCCCTCATCTTGTGATGTAGGTATTCTTTTGAATACTGAGGTAGGTATTCCTGAGGGAATACTGAGCTAGGTACTTATATAAAAGTACTGACTGTAGGTGTCACTTAACCGTTGATACTGAGTGTAGGTGTCACTTAAACATGGCACTGAGGTAGGTGTTCTCAATTCAGGGTTTATGGCGAGGACACTGAGGTCCTGTACTGGTCACAAGAAAAGGTATAAGTGACTGAACCCTAACGGAGACATCCATTTTGTACTGGTAATTTTAGTTGTGCACAGCTCCCATCTAGGACAATGGGGAACAAGACGAGTAAGGAGGATCCTCTGGTGAGTTTAATTATTGACATAATATCACCAAAAGAACTTAAAGATGTAGAAAATCATAGAATGTGTTTGAACATGTGGAGGAACGAAGCAGAAAGTAGGGCAAGACAGAGAATGTTCAAGGAAATGTCCACATGAATGTCTTGTCAGTAAAAAAGAAAACAGTAATCTGCCACCCAGTTCTCTGTATCCGCAGTGTCCGGATCTGAAGCTGGACCCCCACCCCGACGCCTGCCTACCAACTGCACCACCACAGCCTGGACCGTCTGTCACACACCAACTTCAGGACATACCTGACGTCAAACCCCCACCATACGACCCACCAGTCTCTCTGGGCCTTCTGTTGCTGCCAATAACGTGCAGCGGTGCTGCGTATGGCATGAGTGCAACCGCTGGCCCATCTTCCAATGCTGAACTATTTTTACCCATGGTTGAAGTGTCTGGCCCTACTGGCCCCATCCTTGTGTTTTGAACATGGACCACTGCTGATATTACTGCTGCAGCACAGCATCTTCCCGTCCCAACAGCATCTGGACAGAAATGTGCAAAACAGCTCTCCATTTTCTGCACTGAATTTCATCCCACCATGACTGAACTGAAACGCCTGTTAGCAACAAAAACAAAACCTGTCGATCTCCAGCATGTGACTCGTCGTTTCCCACCAAATGACCTGCGTGTCTGCAACATTGAATGGAATCCCGCTGATAATGCCCCATACAGAGATGCTATTACAGCCCTGGGAGTTGTGTTTTGGGACCAGTTTCCCACTAAAGTGGACATGAGTAAAATCATGTCTTGCAGACAACAGGACAGAGACTCAGCAGAGGAGTATTTACATCGCCTTACAGAGCTGTTTAACATTCATAGTGACCAGCTGATTTGCGTAATGCTCCTGGTGTGTGGGAAACACATCTTAGCAACTGCTTTCTGAATGGACTGAGACCTGAAATTGCAGCAGCAGCTAATCCTGTGTCGGCTACACAGACGCTCATCTGAGTGAACTACGATGTCATGCCAGTCGTGCCCAAGATCAGTTGCAGCAGAAACAGCAGGCCAAAGAAGATAAAGTCGAAAAGGAGCTACACATATGCAGTGATGACCATGTACCAAGCCATCCAGGAACAATATGAGCAATATCCAGGGGGACGTGGTCGTGGACGCGAGTTTGGAGAACGTTCACCAGTGCCCAACAATATCTGACTGAAGGCAGGTTGGTGGCAGCGAAGGGGGAGGAGGGACAGCAGATGAGATTGCCACTGTGCCTACAGATGAGACACAGCAGCTACAGATGAGTGATAACACACATACACACTGCACACCGCAATGAAGAACAGCTTGCTGATACTAACCCACACATGCTTATACAACACGCCATTAAGGAATTAGAGAGCAAATTTGAGCCTCAGGGCACCTACATCAAATATGAATCTGAAGCATATGAACAATTTCCTCAGTTCATATTCTTTATTCAGGGACAGCTAGTTACATTCCTTGTTGATTCAGGAGCTACTTCCTCTCTGAGCGAAGACCACTTAAATATTGTTTTCTGCTCTATTCACATTGTCCTGTCAGTCTCTTAGGTAGAGATCTTATGTGTAAACTTAGAATCTAACTTTGTTCAGCCTCTGATGGTATTACTGTCCACCATGACAGTGACTCACACACACACTCATTTGTGCTTAATAGCCCTTGTGAGTTAATATATGTTTATGAGTGGAAATTGCAGAATGGTTCACTTACTTTTTCACTTGTTGCTGAAGCTAAACAATTGGTTGTTGATGAATACACTGATTTTATGCAACCTAGAGACTTGCATTCCACTTCTTATATTTATCATGGTGCTGACGGGCACTAGAACAGACATGGCTTAGAGTAAAAAAAAACTGTGCACATCTGCTATGTACTGGAGTGATTACCTTTACTTTCTCACTGCCAGTCTCACAGCTTCACAGTTACAGCTGTATGGCATTGACAGGGCCGTACCATGCATGTCTTTGGCCAAGCATAATAATGTTGAATGTAAAGATATGGGCCCCTTTGTGAAAAGATGCATGCAAACAAATGATTGGCAGATAACTCAAGATCTGTTTTTTTTTTGTTGTTTTTTTTTTTAACACTGCAGTGTTTTAAAAGAAGCTTCTCTTTAGTCATGCATTCAATAAGATCTGTTCAGCTGGTAACTGAAAATACAATGCGAGCGCAGCACTTTTTATCTGACTCACAGGCTGCAGCCATCCTAGTCTTGCAGGAAGTCCCTAAGACACTGTAGACTAGACACATTGATGATGTTGGCCTCATCAAAGATTTTGTATTGGTGGTAATTACTCCCAAATCTGATTACAGGCCATGTAAACGACTATACTTTCTCAAAAATAAAAAGTAGCTATTGATGTCATCACTCCAATGTTTGAATCTCTTAAAGAAGCAGGAATAATTGTACCCTGTGAGAAATTCCCTGTGCGCACTCCTTTGTTCCCTGTAAAATAAAATAAAAAGTAAGAGATGAAGGTTAACCTATAGAATGAAGACTTGTTCAGGACTTGCAAGCAGTAAATGCTGCAGTCAAACCTTGAGCCACTTGTTTGCTAAAAGGCACAGCTTTATTGCAATATGTTATACTCTTTCAGAACCTGGCTGAACATAAAGTTAGTCTCTCTAAACTGCGGTTTGTACAACTTAAAGTTATATTTCTGGGTCATGTGATCACAGCTGAGGGCAATCCCTCTCACCCAAAGTAGTTGAAGTTATCCAGCAGCTTCCAAAACCACTCACAAAAGCAAATTATGTCCCTTCTGGGCATGTGATCCTACTGTGATTTCCTCCAGCATTATGTTGTGCTGGAGGCCCCACTCAGTCTCTCACTGATTTGAAGTTAGCTTTGCAGACCACACCGACACTGGGACTACCTGACTTGACCAGACTTTTCACACAGACTCTGGATGAGAAAAATGCATGTATGACATCTGTTCTCTTGCAGGAACAGGGTGGACAACAATGCCCTGTTGCCTATTTCTCTGCTAAACTGGCTGAAGGAAAATCTGTTACCATTTACAATAGTGTAAAACCCTGTTCAGCGTTCTTTCTCAGATTTCCAACAGGTGAAAGCAGCTCTCCCGGCTCCAGCCTCTGAACCTCAGTGATCTGCAGCCAAGGACTGGGTCGTGATAAAGGAGCTCTAGCGGAAACATTGGAAGTCCAAACGCTGGCAGGGACCCTTTCAAGTCCTGATGACAATGCACACAGCAGTTAAGGTAGCAGAAAGAGCAACCTGGATTCACGTCAGCCACTATAAGAAGGTGCCAGAGCCACCAGAGACGAGGGCTAAGCATCCCAACCCAGCACATTCACTCACTCACACACCCTGATGAAGTGAGGCTGTGTTGAAACAACACAGCAGCGAAGTGTGAGCCAAGCGTCGCTTCCTGCTGCTCCGATGAAATACACAGAACACACCATGACACACCAGAGAGTAAACACAAATGAGCTAACGAGCTTAGCCAACGTTGGACCAGTGATGGAATGCCCT